AGAACTCGAAACAGCTGCCCAGTCCTCAGAAGCTCTCAGATCCTAGGATCTTGCAGGAAAGTTTTCAGAAGAATTATAGCCAGCTTTTCTGGGGCCTCCCCTCTCTGCACAGCGAATCCCTGGTGGCTAATGCCTGGGTCACTGAAAGGTCTTACACTTTACAGTCTCCTCCTTTCTTGTTCAATGGAATTTCCAATGTCTGCCCAATTCAAAGGGAGACTACAATGTCCCCACTGCTTTTCCAGGCCCAGCCCCTGTCCCATCTGGGGCCCGAGTCCCAACCCTTTATTTCATCCACACCCCAATTCCGGCCCATACCTATGGCTCAGGCCGAGGCTCAGGCCCATCTTCAATCCTCTTTCCCAGTCCTGTCTCCTGCTTTTCCATCCCCGATTAATAACTCTGGAGTAGCTTGCCCTGCATCGCAGAATAAAGTGCAAGCTGTCTGCCTACCTGAAACTCAGCACCCTGAATGGCCTTTGTTGAGGAAACAACTAGAAGGTGGGTTGGCTTTACCCTCTAGGGTCCAAAAATCTCAGGATGTGTTTAGTGTCTCCACTCCTAACCTTCCCCAGGAAAGCTTGACATCCATTCTGCCTGAGAACTTTCCGATCAGTCCTGAACTCCGGAGACAACTGGAGCAACACATTCAAAAGTGGTTCATTCAACACCAGGGCAACCTGGGAAGGATCCAAGAGTCTCTGGATCTGATGCAGCTTCGGGACGAATCGTCAGGGACAAGTCAGGCCAAGGGCAAACCCAGGCCCTGGCAGTCCTCCACGTCCACAGGCGAAAACAGCAAGGAGGCACAGAAGGTGAAGTTCCAGCTGGAGAGGGACCCGTGCCCACGTCTGGGGCAAATTCTGGGGCAGACCCCGCAAAATCTATCCAGGGGCATGGAAAGCTTCCCAGGGAAGGTTCTGGGGGTGACCTCTGAGGAGTCAGAAAGGGACTTGAGGAAGCCCTTGAGGAGTGACTCGGGAAGTGATTTATTAAGACGCACAGAGAGGAATCGTATAGAAAACGTCCTGAAAGTCCACGTCGGCAGGAAGTTGGGCCAGATGAACGAGGGCTTGATCCCCGTGAGTGTGCGTCGATCCTGGCTTGCTGTCAACCAGGCTTTTCCCGTGTCTAACACCCACGTGAAGACCAGCAATCTAGCACCCCCGAAAAGTGGGAAAGCCTGTGTGAACACAGCCCAGGTGCTTCCCTTCCTCGAGCCGTGTACGCAGCAGGTGCTGGGAGCCCATATTGGGAGGTTATGGGCCAAACACAGGTGGGGTCTACCCCTCAAGGTCCTCAAACCCATTCAGTGCTTTAAACTGGAAAAGGTTTCGTCCTTGTCTCTTACACAGCTTGCCGGTCCCTCCTCAGCCACCTGTGAACCTGGGGCTGGCTCAAAAGTTGAGGTGGCCACGTTCCTTAGAGAGCCACCGATGGCAAGTCTGAGAGAGCAGGTGCTGACCAAAGCATCTGACATGCCAGAGAGTCTGCTGGCCTCTTCCCCTGCATGTAAGCAGTTCCAGAGGGCCCCGCCGGGGATCCCATCTTGGAATGATCATGGGCCCTTGAAGGCTCCTCCAGCTGCACAGGAGGGCAGGTGGCCATCTAAGCCCCTCACATACAGCCTCACAGGCAGCACCCAGCAGAGCAGGAGCTTAGGAGCCCAGTTTTCAAGGGCTGTGGAGACCAGGGAGGCAGTGCCACAACCCAGAGTCCCCTTGGGAACCCGTATGCTGGCAAACCTCCAAGCCACAAGTGATGATGTGCGTGGTTTTGAGGCTCCAGGGACCAGCAGAAGTTCTTTACTCCCTAAAATGTCTGTCTCCCAAGATCCAAGACAGCTGTGTCTTATGGAGGAAGTTATTAGTGAATTTGAGCCTGGAATGGCCACGAAGTCAGAGACCCAGCCTCAAGTTTGTGCCGCTGTTGTGCTCCTTCCAGATGGGCAAGCGTCTGTTCTGCCCCT